TGCTGCTGCTTCTGCACAAACGGGTTGAGTCGGCTTTTCTCGCTTTGGCTCAGGTGGCTCTCAGCAGCAGGTGAGCTCGCGACAGCCGCCGCCGCCGCCGCCCTGCTTCCCATTGGCAGGCTGGCCCTGGGTGGGAGGGAACCCCGGGGAAGCGGCGCTTCTGATTGGAGGAGGGCCCAGGCGTTCCAAGAAGAAGCAGAAGAAAGCTCCCGCCCGGCGCTCGCGCTCCTTCCCTCCGTCCGTCCGTCACGCGCTGGAGGGCCGCCTCGACCACCTTCCGGCGGCGGGAAAGACTTGGAGGCTGATAAGTTGACCAAAGGTGGTCTTGCTCATATTTTCCGAGACATGTCCTCCATTTCTCAAACTGGAGGTATTATTAAAGCAAATGGCAGTACTTGCCCATAGGGAAACCACACTTGCCCATAGAGAACCATTGGAGAATACTTGCCCATAGGGGAAAATGGGGGGATACTTACTCATAAGGAATAATGGGGGAATACTTGCCCATAGGGATAAATAGGGGAATACTTGCCCATAAAGAATCACTGAGGAATACTTACCCATAGGGAATAATGAGGGAATATTTGCCCATAGGGGAAAATGGGGGGATCCTTACTCATAAGGAATAATGGGGGAATACTTGCCCATAGAGAATCATTGGATAATACTTGCCCACTGGGAAACATAGGGGAATACTTGCCCATAGGGATACATAGGGGAATACTTGCCCATAGAGAATCATTGGAGAATACTTGCCCATAGAGAAAAATGGGGAATACTTGCCCATAGAGATACATAGGAGAATACTTGCCCATAGGCAGTGGCATCAGTAGGAGGGTGCAGGGGGTTCACACTGCACCCGGTGACACCCTTATGGGGATGGTGACACCACTGATCCTCAAACATCTGCTGTGGCACTTTCCTGTGTCCCTTTAAAATGCTGAAGATATAATGTAGGTGGGATGAGGCTCAGTGAAAGTAGAAAGGAGAAGTCCTGGGGGGGGGGGGTTGTGTGTGTAATTTAAAATTTTAATTTAAAACTTTAATTTTTAAAAAAAGATTTATTCTTTTAAAATTTTCTTTGTAAAGACTACATTTTACCAAATTTTTACTTTAACCACATGAAACTATATATATGTAAATACATGTAGGCGGTATATGATATTGTAATTTAAAGGTGTAATTTGTAAGTTGTTTGTGTGGCAAGTATTAGCATTACATTCAGTGATATATGGGAATTATGACTTACGAGTTTATGAGTAACATAAATGGCTGGTTTGGTATAGGAGGAGATCAATTGGGGGGGGGGTGACACCATGAGGAAACATAGAGGAATATGAGGTAACATTGGGAATTATTTGCCCATAGGGAAATTAACCATTTGTAAGCCACTCTGATAGCCTTTTTGGCTGAAGAGCAGGGTATAAATACATCATCATCATCATCACTTGCCCAATGTTTCCCTACGGCAGCAGTAGGCAACCTTTCCCCTTTAAGGGCTGAGGGACTTCAGCTCCCAGAAGCCTCAGCCATGTTGGCCAATAGTCCCATGTTGGCCAATAGCTCCTGGGATTCTGGGAGCTGAAGTCCCTTGGCCCTTAAAGGGGAAAGGTTGCCTACCTCTGCCCTACGGGCAAGTATTCTCCTATGTATCTCTATGGGCAGCTATGGTTTCCCTATGGGCAAGTACTGCCATTTGTTTTAGTACTTCCCATTTCAACCTTCTCTCCAGGAGGGATCCCAAAATGCCCCTCCATTTGGAGCATGGCTAAGAAGCATGACTTCATATTTATATGAAGGTTTTGAGCTTTTTATTTGATCATGTCCTCTATTTCTTTTCCTGGAAGGTCTTACATTTTGAGGTGCCGTCTCCTCCTTTGCAGTGAGGACATATCTGGTCACCTTGCTTCAACCAAAGCCCTCAGGGCCAAGGCGAAGGCTGGAGTTTCTCTGGCCCAGGATGCCCAGAAGACCTCACTGCAAAGGAAGACAAAGCACCTCAAAATGGAAGACCCTCAAGAGAAAAAATAGAGGACATGACTAAATAAAAAGCTCAAAGCCCTCATATAAATAACAATTCATTTCATCTGGTTTATTTACAGCTATATTACATATGTATGTATTGTGTGCCTTCAAGTCATTCCCAACTTATGGCAATCCTAAGGCCAATGGGGGTTCTTGGCAAGATTTGTTTGAGGAAGTTTGCCATTGCCTTCCCCTGAGGCTGAGAGTATGTGACCTGCCCAAGGTCACCCAGTGGATTTACATGGACAAACAGGGAATTGAACCTTGGTCTCCAGAGTCATAGTGAAATGCTAAAACCACTACACCACAAAAGCATTAAAATGTAGATACAAAGTTTAATGCCCTGAAGGCACCATGTCCCATCTTACCTTGGACTGACCCTTGGAAGCTAAGCAGGGTCACACCTAGTTAATACTTAGATGGGAGACCATCAAGGAATACCAGGTACCATAGGCTCTGTTTCAGAGGAAGGTACTGGCAAAGCTACCTCTAAGAATTCCTTGCCTGAGAAAACCCTACAAAATTCGGGCAACTTGAAGGCACAGATGCAGACACGTGAGGCAAAATGAACAACATACAGTATTAAATCATCATTAATTTGTTGCCTTTTCCAAACATCGCAGACCCACTGTGTGAAATTTTGCTGCTCAACTCTATCTAAAGGTAGAACCCAAGTCCATTTCCTGATTTCCTTGCTATTATTTATAGCATTTCCAAATCTTGCCCCAAACACATTATTTTATTTCATTTCATTTTGATCAACAACAAAACCAATCCAACAATATATGACAGGTGTGAAAAGAAACAACAACAAAAGCTGCTGAAACAGTATCAGCCCAACATTTTGGGAGAATGCAATTGTTTTGACTTGAGTTCAGAAAAATGGTAACATCAGCACCATGCAGATTTCTTTTGGAATATTCCATAGGCAGGGTGCCAGGACTGAAAAGATGGTACTGAGTTCTGGGTGTATATAGATAGATAGATAATTTTTATTTGTCTATGGCACAACGTCCATTACAAAACATTCTGAAAAAACTGTATCTAGTACAGCAAATCATGTACTCCTGACATAATTACAATTACATTAGATACGGGGTGACAAAGAGGGTTGAAAACTGAAGAACAAAATAAGAGGTTACTGGACAAGATATCGAACCAACAATAATAATGCAGGTGCAACAATCCCTTTGCTATCCACTACTGGGTTCAAGAAGTTGCAGCAAATCTTTTAGCTGCTACTGCAAAGGTGGCAATCTTAAGTGTGATGGATTTAGAAAGATCAGCCAACAGATCACAAAAAATACCAGTTAATGACCAACCTGCCCTCACTCTCAAAAGATCTCCCAGGAAATGTGTCCAGTGATCACTATATAAAGAGCATGTAGAAAGATCATTGGAGACTGGAACGCAAAGGTTGGAAGTAAAGAAGAATAAAAAATGGTAGGCAGATTTGGACTAGGCAAAAGGAATGAAGCAGGTGAACATCTGATAGATTTTTATGAAGCCAACAACCTATTAGTTGCAAACACATTTTTCATTACAACCAGAGAAAAGATTATACACATGGACATCACTAGATGGCCAGCACAAAAGCCAAGTAAATTACATAATCGGAATTAAAAGATGGCAAAGCTTTATACTGGTGAACCAGAGTAGACCAGGTGCTGATTGTGGCACAGATCTTGAACTACTCATTTCAAAATAACAGTAAAACTCAAGAAGAGAACAAAACCAGTCATGATACCAAAATACAATTTAAACAACATTTCCACAGAATTCATTGACAATATAAGGAACAGATTTGCAGTACTAAGTATAATAGATCATGAACCGGAAGAGCTTTGGTCTGAAGCCAGAGACATAATAAAAGACGAATGCATAAAGACACTTCCAACAGACAAAAGGAAAGTGAAGAAAGCATGGATGACAGATAAAACACTACAAGCAATAAAGGAAAGACGAGAAACAAACCAAAAAGGAGATAGGAATAAACTAAGAAACATGAACACAACAGTACAATGGCTAGTGCACAAGATAAGGAAAATTATTACAACAACAAATGTAGAAAAATAGAAGACAACAAAAAGGGAAGAACAAGAGACCTATTCCACAAGATTCGAGAAATCAAGGGAAAGTTCAAACCAAGGACCAGGACACTACACGACAACAAAAATAATATAATTCAAGACCAGGAAGGAATAAAAAGATGATGGATGTCATACACAGAAGAGTTATATAAAAGAGATGACAAAATGGACACATGGACCCAAGAGCCATATGAAGATGAACCCCAAATTCTAAAAACTGAGGTGCAAG